AAACTCTTGGGCCATATTCTGTAAAGCCTGTATTTTAGAACAGCTTCAAGAACAGCGTTCATTAAATACGATGCCTAGAGAGCATTTGCAGCTGTCTGCCATGCAAGCACCTCTGTTTTATTGCCTGCTTCTCAGAAGTGCATTCTGTGTAGGAAGCTCAGTGTTTGATGGCTCAGAGCTATTACAGACAAGGTCCATTGTCTTCCAACACCTATTTCCCTTTAGCCAGATGCAATTTGATCCATCAACATTGCTGCCAGAAAGCCAAAGGTTTTACCAAGTCCCACTGAACTTTGCAGTGAAAATAGCAACCTCAGCAACAGAGTTTACCAAAGAATCCTAGAACTGAGAACTTTGCACAAGTTCTACATTCCTTGAGTGGAAGTTTGTTTATCAATAATATCAGTCAGCAGACTTCTCTCTCTTCCCCCACCCCTTCTAGCCTGCTTCAATTTTTAATTCAATAAATTTTAAAGGAAAGATTGTACAACTTTTCCCATGACAGCATATATACCTGTTTTGGCTTGGTTACATACCTTTGAAATCATGCAGCAGCCAAGAGACATACAATGTCAATGAAAATCATGTGCATGCTCAGTTTTAGAGAAAAGCAACGCACACACCATCATGGGATTAAATGCTGAAACTGCTCACTTCCTCCCTGGAGATATGCTTCAGGGCTACAGGCATTTGGATGAAAATAGCAGCAAGACTACACTAAGTTCTGGAATAATCATTCTATGTTCTAAAAGAACCTTAAAGCAGGGGGCTAGACCTCATCCTATACAGACAGAGGCTGCCTATAAATGACAAGGTGACCACAATACACAGCATCACATTGGCTGATGATTCGCCTTATTCACATGCTGTTTCTTCACCTGTGTGACTGCTCAAATGTTGGGCCATTTAAGAGACCACTTCTGAAGAGATGCAAGTCATGAGGCAGTTCTTGGGGGTGGGGGGCATGTTTTATACCATTGCGCATGTCTGCCTGGGCTAGGCCTGTGGGGAGAGAAGGGCAGATAAGACAAACCATCATTGTCCTGTGTTTTGGGAGAAAAGAAAGGACAAGAAGCTGCTAGTGACTGGGTGCAGCAATTACTCTGTGCCTGCCCTTGTTTGTTTCTTAAAACAGTCCAAATGGGATATTTTACATCTAAAAGGCTGACAGTTATTAGTTGACTTTAAGTTGCTTCATTCCACTAATCATGACTGCCTGGGTACCAAGAGGTGGGGAAAAGCAGCGTATTCAGGACCCCTCATTTACTACCAGGTAATCTTAAGCATCACTGCCCTTCTGGGACACTTTCAGTAGGAGCATCACTTAAGGTAGGCTTGTGCCTGCTATTAGTCATCATCCACTGCAAGACCAGAGTGACATCCTGTTTACAAGCTGGGCCAAGATATGCTCTCCCCCCACCTCTCTCTCTCTCTCTCTCTCTCTCTCTCTCTCTCACACACACACACACACACACACACGTAAAGGTGCACATGATACTCAAGCCCAGTCGTGTTATTTTGGCACCCCAGGCACAAAATTCCACAAATGTCTTTCCCCATCCCACTGGCAGTAGAAATGCCACAGTAGAAAGTTAAACCATGAACAACAAACAACACGCTGCGCTTTCATGACCCCCGAAATCAGCCGCCTGAGGTATATACCTTAACTCTGCCTAATGGAAGGACTAGCCCTGAGCCTGTATTAAAGCAACCTTTTTTTAAAGAGGGTATGTATTTTCACCCAGTATTTACACATTTATTTATTTATTTAAAGCTCTTCTATACTGTTCTTTCAGCAAAAAAAGCTCTCAGAACGGTGTTTACAGAAGGTGTGTGAGAGCGCATGTGCACACATGAAAGGGCTCGCAATCCTGAATGTGTGCAAGGTTGGCAGGGGCATGAAGTGAAGGGTGCTGGGCACATGATGTCTCACGAGGGACATGAAATCCAGAGCATACTTTCTGTGTGCTGCCACAGGCCTAAGGACAGCCTGTATCGAGGTGCATGTTTCCCACACTCCGGGGGAAGTGTCAGGAAGCCTGTTTTGGCTGTCATGCGTTCTCAGTCGAGCACGGAATTTTCTTTTGTTTTTATGTCTACAAGCCGAGAGCTCGGCCATATCACCCCTGGCGTGCAAGTTCGAGGCTCGCAATGCTTATCTGATCATATTTACCCGTTCTTTAAAATTAGCTCACCCAGCTTGCTGTGCCAAGCCAACGATGGGCATCACTCAGCCAAAAGTTGTGCCTGCTTCCTGTTGAAACACTGACAGTGGATTAGCCTGCTTCCTTGGCAATGACTTCCATTGCGTAAGTCTTTCCATCTGCATATGGGCTTCTCCTGGTTTGGGGGCACACGTGAATTTCAGGAAGTGATCCCTCAAACAAGTTCAGTGAGCCCACAGGGTGCCAATGCTCTGGGGTATCTCTGACCTCCATCTTTGTCCCCTGGAAGGAGACCAAGAACCCCGGTTGCAAGTTCACAGCTGAATGAGCTGCCTGGCTTGGATGTTGTCAGTGATTCAATAAAATCATGCAGAAGGTTATTTACTGGCTTATTGCATTTCTAACCTGCCTCAGAAGCAAGGTTGTCTGGGTGAATTACAAACAGTTAAATTCTAAAGTGCCACAAACAGTTCAAAACAGATATAATGGGGTGGGTTCAGATGTTCTTCCTTGAATCTAACCTCAAGTGCCCTTCCTGCCATTTAAGCCTATTGACTTCTCCACTACCACTGAAAATAGAACTACTGTCTTCTGAGGCAACAGTGTAAATATTTGGAAGAGAATAAAATACACTTGTACCAAGCAAGAGGCTAAAACAAGTTTATGTGTATATAACAGGCATTTGTTTTTGCCCCTGGAGAATTAAAGGGATGGGCAAACATCAGGCATGTGGGATCTACTTCAGTGTCAGAATCTCAAGCCAGCCACCAGAGCCAGGTGCAAATTAGCAGCTGGGTTGAAAGGGAAAGAGCACTCTTAGGAGTAAGAGTACCTCTGAGCTCGTGCTCAGCCTGGGAATTTGTTTTCAATATCAGGACTGGGTTCGCATCCTGTCACCCTAAAGTCTGCTTCTGAATGTGCTCCCAAAGCTTTCATCCATCTCAACAACCTAATTTACAGAAGGGCTTGTTAACTGGTTTTCAGAATCAGACCCCCTTGATTCTCTACCAGTAGATTCTATCGACATTCTATCCATAGAAAATTCCAATCATGTTTTACCAATCCTCCTTCTCAAAAGAGGGCCCAAATAATGCTGCAGCCCGTGCCTGGAGGAAGGAGTGGCATGCATGGTGCCCAACGACAACCACTGCCAAAGAAAAGTAGGCAAATATGTATATATGTGGTATACATACATGTGTATGTATATGTACACATGTACATGATGTGAAATATAGATACTTTTTAAAGTGTGTGTGTATATGTGCATATATGTATATGTGTGTGTGTGTGTGTAAAATTTTTAAAGATACACACATTCATATATATCTACCTTGCTTTAAATTCGGTGCTTAGGTCCCTGGTTTACACCAGTTGCTAGGAAAGCTATAAAAAACGGTTGCGTTGGAGCAGACTCATGACCGAACAATTGCACCCTATTCCAGGGAATGGGGGCAGGGAAGTCACACAGCAGAGCGGAGCGGGTGCTGTCAGGCAGCAAGATAAATCACCTCTGCCTCCTGGGCAGGTGAGTCACTGAAGTGTAGAGGTAAGCCGAGAAGGGAATGCTAACCTCCTACACCTCACTAGAGGGTGCATGAAAATATATCCCAGTGAGAAGAAATTGCCGGGCTGAGAGAGAGGCTGACCAGAAACGGGATGTGTTGGCCACCCAATGAAAACAAAGTCTGATTATATACAGAAGAGAGCGGCTCAAGGCAACCACTGCAGTCCCGGTACGCAGAGAAAGAACCCAAGGTTAAGTTACAGAACACATGCATGTCCCCCTCCAGGGGCAAACGACCAGAAGGAAGAGGGCGAAAACAAAACGTGTGCTGGGGAGTGAGCACAAACCGCTGCCTTAGCTCCTGGAGCACGGCACGTGTAGCCACGCTAGAGCATAGGCATGGCCCCAGAAACTGGTGATCCATGCGACCTGGCCCATATCGTCAAGCACAAAGGAGGACCTGACCATCGCAGTACCCACGCGCGCGACTTTGGATCTTGCTACCGATGCAAAAAGCAGGTCGAAAAGGAGCCTTCACGTCCACATCTTCGAAGTCAAATGCAAAGAGGTCGATGCGCTTGCACGCTTTCCCTCCTCACAAGTAACCCCATAAGGCTTTGTGACCTTGCAGCCAGTGCTTCCATTCTATTATAAACGGAGGGGCAGGTTACCGCTGACACACTTTGTGCAACACATGACTTCGGTGCGCGTGTTTCCCCCCCCCCCTTCAAAAACCGCCAAAGCCCCCGCGGTTTGGTTTTGGGGCTTGTTTTCCCTCTCCCCCCCCGCCCCGTTCTGCCCCCCCCCCCCCCCCCCCCCCACAAATGCCCCCCCCCCCCCCCCCCCCAGACCCGGGCGCAAGTCCGTGCCAGCGAGCTGCCTCCGCCGAGCGGGCGGGCTGCCTTGAAACCGCGCGGCGGTGGGTAGGCGCTGTTCCCTCGCCAATACAAGCACGGAAGTAACGGGTCCCGGAGGCAAAGCAATAAGGGGAGAGCCTCGAGATGCGAGGAGTGCGCGCAAGCGGCCTCGCGCACTCTCCCCTCTCCACTTCCTGCTTCCCAGCGCTCGGATTTCGCAAGGTCCTGCCCATGCATGATGCCCACTTCTGGAAGAGCTCGTGAAGGCGAGCGCGGGGGCCCTCACACGGGGCGGGAAAGAGTTCAGAGAGGATAGAGAGATCGCCGCTGCATCCTTGTCTTTCCAAGAAAGCACTCCCTCACCCCGCGCCGCCTTTTGCTATAAGGATGAAGAAGTCAATACCGCGCCTCCCGTTTCGTAAACGAGCTCCCCGAAGAACGCAAAGCAGCCGAGGGGTTATCCAAGTGACTTACCTCCAGCGCATCACCTACGACGAGCGGCGGGCAAAGAAGCCGCAATGACTGTATTCCATACATAGGAAGGCGGGAAGGGCACAAAACAGGTCACCGCCGCCCCCCGCCAAATACCTTCGGTGCCCAACATGGGGGGAGCTTCATTTCGTGACAGCGATAAAATAATTCAGAGCCGAGGAAGCCCGAGCGCACGTGTCTCGTGCGCCTCCCAACATCTTCCTCTTTTCCCTTAAAAAATAGACGCCTCTTCCCAATGGGGCGCTGCTGAAACATCCAAGGGGCATAAATCCAACGCAGGTTTATTTCCAAGGAGAAAATGTTTCTAGATAGCCGACGGTATATACTTCGCGGAGAGGAGGAGGCGGCGGCGGCGATGGGCAAGATCCAGCCATCGCTCTCCACCGCCGCCACTTAAACACTCGGGATCCTGCCGATATACAGGCACAGCACCTCCCAGTTTCTGTCTCCCACGATCTCTCTCCCTCTCTGGACCAAAGAGTAAAGAAAGGTCCCGTCAAAGCATCCGGAAGGGAAAGCACACAATATTCCCGAGCGGCTCTTTCCTCGCTCTCCTGCACAGCATATACCAAGTGGACCCACCAATCCTGAGCAGATCGCAACGCCGACCCTTTGAAGGGCGCCGGCTGCCGTCGCAGCAGCACCGGGATCCCTCCAGCCCGTTGCAGACCGCTTGAGGAGCTCGTCCCAGCCCGGGACGCTCCCACCACAGCAGCGCCAATCCAGCCAACCGCCTGCCTATTGCCTGTCCCGAGCCATTCCTGCGTTTATATATCCTGCGGCCGCACAGGCGCCAGAGAGCATCACGGGAATTGTAGTTTCCCCTTCTCCCGAGGCGGCGGCTGGTGCTGCCGCGGATGCGACAAAGCCTTTCTATTCCGCCAGGGACCGTGGCCGCTGGATACTGTAACGTGGCTGGATCCAGGCGAGCGTCGCCCCTCTGCCCAGAAGCGGCCTCAGCTTCGCCACAACCAGTGTCTGGAAAATTTGTGTGTGACTCAGAAGTCGTATGTTTGTTATAATTATATCCCTCCAGGCATCCCGGGACAATGCACGATTCTCGTCCTGCTCTCCATTTTAGCCTCACGGCATCCCTGTGAAGCAGGCTGGCTGAGAGTCTGTGATTACAGATTGCACTCTCTCTGGGCGGTCAGCTTGGCTCTTATCCTGTGTTTCTTTCTGTGTGCACCACTTAAGGCTTTGAACCACAGTCAAAACCTGCCTTGCTTGCACCCATGGGTGTGGGTGGCAGGTACCAGCATCCACTTAGGACACACACAATTTCCCACTGCTTCTGGCAGTTGGCTTAACACAGAAAATCCTTTCAGGAGGGTCCACAAGGCCTCCTGACTGTTGATGCCAGGAGCCCTTCATGCAAAGCACCCATCCAAGGCAGCCAAACTGTTAGGCCTTCTAGTTCAGGACTGTCTGCGCCCACAGTGCAGACCCTGGAACCACCTTTGGTCTGATCATACATTTGGGGACCTTCTCCTCTTCATCCTTCACTGTACCATTGTACAATGGTGGCCCCAACTCAACTGTTGATGACGACTACCAGCAGTGGCGCTCCTGCATCCCCATGGGAGAGGCCAGGCTTTGCACCTGGCGCTTTCTGCACGCAAAGCAAGTGCCGCTGCTTATTGGTTGCAGATAAAACCCAAAACACAGATTTCAGCAAGCAAAACTCCAAGTGGTGCTATGCCTGATATGTCGGGACACATGTATGGCTAGCCATGTCTCATTTTATTTGGCAGCCCAAATGGATGTTTGGTGAGCTGGTCATGCAAGTACCAATGAATGCTGGCTTTCACTGGACTTATGTGACATGAACAGAACTCCACATTCAGCTGTACAGTCCAAACTTGTGCACACCTTCTGAGAGGTCAGCCCAGTGGACTTCGGTGGGTGCCACTCACAAAAAAGTGCATAGAATTGCAGGCATCATGGATTCACTGCTCAGGTTGCCTTTTTCCCTGCACCAACAGTACAGTATAAATATTCAAATTATGTAGAAGCATCAGAACCCAACCGAAATTGGATCTGAGCTGTAACTCTAAACAGACTTACCTGAGGACAGACCTTTGAGGATGTTTTATCTTTCACTCTGACTTTATATTATTTTAATGCTGTTTTTACCAATTCCAGTAAGTATTTTCCTGTGTTTTAATTTTTAAACTGTAACCTTTTATATTACTTGATAGTATGAATGAAGGGCAGGCATAAATCTTAGAAATCAATTAACGAATTACAAGAGTAGAACTTACTTCTGAGTTACATGCACTGGATTGCTGGATTAAGCTAATGCGTAACCCAGCCCGAAAGTCTGGCTCTCTGACATGGGCTCAACATTGCTGCCAGTAATACTGATGTAACGCCATGCTGCATGATGCTCCATTAATGCACTGGCTTCAGCAAGTTACCAGATGGGAATGCCAGCCCCATTTACTTTGCTTTATTTTCTATCCATTTGCTTACAGAGAGAGAGTAAATACAAGGCAGGGATTAGCTAGCAGGGAGAAATAATGGCATCAAGTCTAGAAGTGACAGATGTTAATTTGATATTTGTAGTTCTTCTGGAAGGTTTTAGGTAATGCTTAGATGAGAATTCCTGTCACTCACCTGTTAAGCATTTTAATCCCTTCCAGACCTACTTCTCTAGCAGGCTTCCAAGATGGAAACTGAAGGAGATTTTTCTGCTCCATTGTAAACTGTAGGGAATATAAAATGGGCCTAGGAAGATCTGTAATCTTCAGTTTTGAAATCATGAAAGGAGCTGGTAGGTCTTTCCATAAAGAAATCAGATCACATGTGGCTAATGGTTGGATGAATTCAGAAGCAGGACTGGGAAAAATGGCTGCAGGAAGAGCCCACAGTCTTAGGCAGAAGAGGCATACAGACAGACGGACGGACGGACAGACTACAGCTCTTGTTGAGAGGGGAACCAAAGGAAAAATAGGCAGGGCTTCCTTGCTGGGATCCCAGGTCTTGGACCCACAAGCAATAGGCACAAAGACCTGGGGTAATGGCATCAGTGCTGCTCCCTATTGAATGTGTGAGGCTCAGGACAAGCCCACCCATCCCAAATAGCCACAGATGCACCTCAGCCACTCAATCCATCCCTGGAGCACTTACAGCCATCCCTGGAGCACCTCCACCCTGGGGCACCTGAAGAAGCCCATCTTCCTCAGAAACTCTTTTGTTTACTGATTGCCTTGAATTCCACCTTGAACCACCAGACTGCTGCCACTGTTATTATCTGACTTGGAAGGAAACCCTTCCCTGTATACCTGTGTTGGGCACATGTGCCCTTCTAGACATTGTTGGACTGCAATTCCCTCCATCCCTAGCTAGCAGAGCCAGTTTCCATAGCTCAGCAACTTCTGAAAGGCCACATGTTGCCAGTTCATGCCATACTTGTTCCCTCTGGGCATGAGGGATAAGGCAGAAGGCCAAGCTTTCATGCCACTTTGTAACAGCTGGGGATGATCAGTATCTCACTGCCCAAGGAAAAATTCCCAAGTTCTGGTGCTCCCCAGATGTTATGGGCTACAGTTCCCAGGATAATGGCTTCAGTGAATGGGGAAGGTTCCCTAAAATGGCGGCTTCCAGCTCTTAGGTGGCTAAACCAGCCTCTTCCAAGCAGCACCACTCGAGCTGTTGGTGTGCAACTCCTACCATGATGATGTCCCCTGGGAATGATGTGCATTTCAGTCCAATGCATCTGGACAACACCCGTTTGGGCCACTCCAAGCTAAACAGGCAGGGCATCTTTATACTGCATTGTATCTTTAAGCTGCACCAGGAGATCCAGGATTACCTGTGGATCCCATACAACAGACACCAGGCCTGGATTGATTTCACAGAGACCTCCTGGTTGAAGAGAATAAAAGATGCTTTGAATTGCTAATATGAGCCTGTGGCGAAACCAGCACTAATTCTTTGTATCTTAGGAACATCTGGTTAACATATCCTTGAGCCTGCAGGCACTTCTTTTCCCTTTTAAAAAACCATCCTTCATTTACCTGTTCCATACCTATCTTCTCTTGCTTGTTGGCGGCTCTCTTCTCTTCCAGCCCCACCCTCCAAGCACAGGGACCTGTTTAAATTATCAAAACCTTTACTTCTTTCAGCCCTCTCCTTCCCTCTCTCCCCCAAGCCCCCCCCCCATCTCAGCAGTGGTTAAGGAATGCGAAAGAGGAATGCTGTCCTCTCACAAGGAAGGGGAGGAGACTATTGCGTTAAAACAATGACTTTATGTTTCCAGCCAAAGCCATAGTCACGCAAGGCACTCTCTTGCTCATGCTCTTTCTCATATAAACAAACTTTTGAAAGCTTTTTAGCTCTCCATATATATGAAAAACATTCCAGTCACTGCAAATGGCCCGACAGTCACAACATTTAGAGCTGAGTTCAAATTCCTGTACATATAATTCTCCTTATACAAAGTGCTGTGTACACTAATGCCATTAGATGAATCGATGGGGGGGGTGGCTTTAGTTATCTCCCCCCCCCACCCCCAGCTCTGCAGAGAATCAGTACTATGCACCCATGGTATACACCTGCCTGCTACCTGTCAGGTTCTCTTCTGAACCAAGCCAAACAATCCACATGTGGAAACATTTTCCAGCTGCGGATCACTCTCACTGGACTGGGTGGGAAGTTGTTTTAATTGAAAGAAAAAAAACCTCCTCCTTTTCAGACCACATGCCACCAGATTGGGCTGAAAGCATTCATCAGTCTGTACAGTGAACTCATTCAACCCAGTTTTTAAAAGTGCTTTAATCAGAGCAGTTTCTTTTGAAGAGTGCTCAATGCCAACAATTTTATTGGAGCTACAGATTTAATACGAACTTGTAGAAGGGCAGTGGTGTTAACCTGTTGCTGAAAAAGGAACTGTGTGTCTTGCAGCATCTGAAAGCTTCCCGTATTTCTTGGGGCATTTGTCTGAGGAACACAGCAAGCTCTTCATACTGAGTTGGGCCATTGATCCAGCTAGCTCAGGACTGTACAGTGACCAGCCGCAGCTCTCCAGGATTTCAGACACAAGTTTGCCCAGCTTTCCCAGGAGATGCCAGGGATCCAAACTGGGCCTTTTGTTTACAGGGCATGAGTTCCACCACTGAGCTACAGCCCTTCTCTCTGTCTGAAGCCCACCTTATTTGGTACATGGTATAGTCATTCATGAGTACTTCTAGGGCAAGACAACACTGCCTATTTCAGCTTAGCACATTAGAGGGCTAAGGCTAATATAGCGGAATATAAGTTTAATTTATCTGTTTATTAATAAGATCCTACCAGTGGTGGATGCAGCAGAGGTCGCTGTTGGAAGGGCCTTATTCTTACTATTTTGTGGGTGACATCTACGTCCTTGGCTTAAATCAGCCATAAAGATGCAGGGTCTGACCATCTTGTAAAAGCCATTAATAGTTTTCTCCTTCATTAATTCATCCTTTCAAAAAATTCCAGCATGGTGGACCAACATAATGGAAGTAAGACTAGACAGTCCCAAGAAAGGGCTATGACCTAGTAGCAGATATCTGTAACACTAGTGGTGTGGACAGGACACAACACAACGTGGCATGTATGGAAAGGAGGTGCTCAAAATATGGCATTAACCGGTTGGGGGGCATGTACTGATTGGCTTCGGACATGGAGACTGGCAAGTGTCTCGAGGACTCTGAGT